AGGTCAATAACAGACCTGCGGGCAGATGGCGTGTCACACAAGGTCAATAACAGACCTGCAGGGCAGATATATACTCTTAGATTAATTACTCTCATCGTCTCCACGACCACGTTGATGCCGGTTATTAGATCGCTTATAGATACGCGCTTGGGTCACGCAAGGTCAGTAACAGTAACGGCAGCAAGCAACAACTACCAACGGTAACTTCTAAGTGCGGCGATTATTACACTAAATCACGAATTGCAATGCAGGCACGTCGAAGGACGATATGTCACACGTCACCACCTTGCAAAGAATTTAGCAATACACAGAGTCCCACGTTGTCCTACTGAGTGGAAACAACAATACAAGTAATGATTGTGAACAAGTCGTCACAAGTGATACTTGCATGTGTCATGCATTAGGCCATAATAAAAACATTGTTTGTTTGCCCTCACCCAACGGCGCCAAAACGGGGCAGACTCAAAAAAAATTTATTCATCTTTCCCATTCTTTTTTTTTTACAAATTGTATCACTGTACATTATATAAATCGGTACAGTAAGCAATACATTATATGTACCAAGCAAAACAAACATTCAACATAAAAGGTATCTCCACACAAGCACACCCGAGCATGAAGACACCATGCTGAATTTGTAAAAAGACCCCCTTCAAAAAAAGAAAAGCCTACCTACCTACCCAAACTTTTCAGCCTGGGTCAGGTGAGGGCAAACAAAGATTTTTTTCGATTGTGGCCTTATATAATACATACATACCCTAATTATCTTCTTGCCGTCTGCATCCACTTGCTCCGTGATGGCCTGGCCCTCATCGTTGAAGTCATACACACTCAAGTCCTTGTCCCTAACATGACAGGAATCAGCAATTACAATTATGTCACTGATAACGAATCGGGATAATAATCAAACGGATTAAAGAATCATTAACACACAAATAATCAAAAAGGAATGGCTCCTGGGAATTTATTTCACACGTTTTTTGGATTTTTAACTAGCTGAGAAACAATCTTATCAGGTAAAAATTTAACGATACATTTAGTCCCGTTAGTACTTACTTTTAATGTAAAAAAATGGCAACAATTTTTTTTTTTTTTACAAATATCACCGTAGAAAATTCGTGACGTCGTCAATTTAAAGCGAGCGTACTTACTTATCGTCCGGCTGCGATACGATCAGCACATAGCTGACCTCGTCCGGGTTGGTGTCGGACGGAACAATGGTCACCGTCTGGTAGGAGTTGCCTGTGTTCAGGATCACGTTCTGCCCGTCGCCCATCGCCTGCGCCTGCTCGGCTATGTTAGCCATCATCTGCAGTGTGTCATCCTCCCCCTGCAGCACGCACACAGTGTCACACACACACACGACACGTTACAGTCATGCTCAGGGCTCGAATTTCCCTATTGCTATCTCGCAAAATGCGTGTCGATATTGAGAAATTGCGAGTAGAAAATATAAGCACTTGCTATTTTCTGCGAGTAGAAATTTATACCATACATTATGGCATACATTATCACTGTCGATCACGGAAAGAATATATTTCATGATTAATGGTCAAACTGGTCGGTCAAATTGCCTACACAAGTTTCAATTCGCCGTTATTTACCGTACGCTGTTTACACTTTCATAATGCCGATCGCTTGCAAAAAAATTGCACGTTAGAATTCATTTTAGTACGTAGATTTTTTAGGCACTCGTGATTTTTCGCAAATGGCTAAAATTGCGAAATTCGTCCCCTGATGCTTGCAATGACTTAATTCTAGAGGGAATCATTGCCACTCTGCGTAAACGACAACATATAACAGTCATGCTTGCAGCGACTTAATTCTAGAGGGAATCCTTGCTACTCTGCGTAAACGAATTGTAAACATATATTGTCGTTTACTTAGTGTCAATGATTCCCTCTAGAATCGAGTCGCTGCAAGCATGTATGTAATGTGTTGTCGTTTATACATTGTGTCAATGAATAACGACAACATAACATTCATGCTTGCAGCGACTTAATTCTAGAGGCTATGCATGTGACCCTGCAGAGGGTGGAACATGAACTTGTGCAATCTAAGCACCAGATACAAGCAGATTATAGATTGTTTTACTATGATCGTATATATGCGACACGATTTTAACTGTTGACACCACATCGACTGTTAAAATGGGTAATATATTTTGGAATATAAGAATGCATCTAGTTACGAAGCTTTTGTGGCTGACAGTGACACCTGCACTATGAGTCCCACCCACTCGTCTAGCACATAGATACGTACTTAAGGCACATGTACACGTAATAACCAACCTGTTCAGCTGTGTCAGCATTCACAATCGAGGCCTCAGATGTACATGTAATAACTAACCTGCTCAGCTGTGTCAGCATTCACAATCGACACCTCAGATGTACATGTAATAACTAACCTGCTCAGCTGTGTCAGCATTCACAATCAACGCCTCAGATGTACATGTAATAACTAACCTGCTCAGCTGTGTCAGCATTCACAATCAACGCCTCAGATGTACATGTAATAACTAACCTGCTCAGCTGTGTCAGCATTCACAATCAACGCCTCAGATGTACATGTAATAACTAACCTGCTCAGCTGTGTCAGCATTCACAATCAACGCCTCAGATGTACATGTAATAACTAACCTGCTCAGCTGTGTCAGCATTCACAATCAAGCCTCACACGTACATGCCTAATAACTGAAACCTGCCCTTCAGCTGTGTCAGCATTCACAATCGACGCCTCAGACGACTGAATGACGTTACCAGACTGGTCCACCAGCACCCCTGCTGAAATCAAAGTGAGCAAGCATGATATGAGTGTTAAACAAATACAATAACTGAGACATTTATTAACACAATAGCAGATATCTAGCTAACTCCAATCATTGACTCATACTCTCACATAGCATTCGCTGGTTGTTCCATTGTATATCCAAATACGAAGCAACACTGCTATCCCCATCTGGTCCATACATCCTCTCCCAACATTGGTAATAAAATCACCATACCTAATCCTTACTCCCTCCTATATTATTAATATTATTATTATTATTATTAAATCTTTATTGCATGTAATTCAAATACAAATACATGTTCTGAAGATAGTGTTTTTCATTGAAAAAAAATCTGATAAATGCAATAGTGTTGAACAGTTAATATAATAAAATTTTTGAATGATACAGTACAAAACAGTGCAATACACATGAAGGAAATATATTGTTAAAAAAAACGTGAGTACATTCAGTATATATGGTCTTCCCCTTTATCCAGCCAGTCCTTACCTTCTCCCACCTGGTCCTGATGCAGTACTGCATGCTCTCCCTCTAGCACCGCTCCAGGTTGCAATGCTACCATAGGCTCCTGTTGGCGCTGAGCTCCACCCTGTTGCTGCACGCCTATGCCCTCTATAGAAAACACAAGGTCGAGGTGAGAAAGACACTCCAGGGGTAGAAATTAACTTTTGAACAAGGCAACGGACTCCCTGCCCTCAAAAAGAGGGAGCCCGCAGCAATATGAGGGAGTCCGCAGTCTGAAGTTCATTAACAATAACGCATGTGCTTATTTTGAAGATTCATGCGCTTGCACGTCTGCCAAATTTTCTTCGGACATTTGCTGAAAAAATACGGTAATACCGCGAGGCCATGCTCTGGAACGAACTAGTTAGTATATAGCAGAATTTTCAGGGAGTCACACGGCTTCCTGCATATGTCAAATCAAGGAGTCCGACAGTAAATCAGGGAGTATTTGACTACAGACTTGCGTTAATATTGCACCATGCACTCTGGCAGAACGACGAATCCGTGAGAAACACTATACAACTTGCATGCGTCCCGTTATACACATATACCAGCACACAAAGTCACATTGGTATATCAAGGTGTTATCCAGTCCGAGTCACCTCAATTTCATCCAACATGTGCACGTTTGCAGTAAAAATGAGGAAACAAAGCTACAATCACTACGATTCCTCCAGCAATGATGTGTTACCATAAAGACAACTGCTACACCCGTGTGGCAAACCGCACGCGACTACAAGTCTCCCTGTAGGTGGCGCTCACCTGTGGCTGCGTTCACCAGACCACTGATGCCAGAATCATGGAGCGCCTCGCCACCCTGTGTCTGTCCTGCTACGGTGGCGCCCTCCATCTCTTGTGACTCCTCTTTGAAATGTGCCAGGTCAGCCACTACGTTATATTAGAAAACATGCAGCATCAAAAACGATGTTCAACATTCAGGCATTGTTAAAACGTCCTACTGCGATGGTGATGGCACTACAATTACTCCCAACACAACAACCTACACACAACACGCAACCACTTATCTGTTTTTATTCGAGCACCTTCCCTTACGTCGCGATAGCACACAAAGAACGACGGAAAGGTTTTTCTCCTGCAGGGTGAATGCAGAGCTCTTACCTTGCTCTTGCTCGTGTAACGAGGGATCATATTCTGAGCCATCTGCAGTCGTGTATTGGATGTTACCCTGATCATCCGTAGTGACAAACACCACCTGCTGCTGCCCGTCACCTCCACCAACATCTGCAGGGTAGGGAGGAAGCATTCACTTTATCATGATAACTAGTGCTTAACCAGTTGCTGATGAGCATTACAGATGAAGAGATATCGATTCGATAGATCATAGAGATTCGAGTAGAACATGGTCCGACTACCCATCTCACGACTTGATGTCGGCCAGATTAGGGATTGAATATTGGATATTGGACCAATTCACAAACCAAATGGAGGCTACAATTCGACAAATTCGCAATTTAAAAGCAGATATTTACCTCGTGTTTACAATTGGGCTTCATTTTTTTCCACAATGGCCTTTTTTATACCAAATCTGTATCTTATTCAGATATTTCATCAATAACACCAACGTTTTTCTGAAGCCTCAGTGATTATAGCTCTCTGTGCAAGACGCTTCATGATGGATTGTTCAGCTCAAACACCACACAGTGTGCTGCTGACGAAATCGTGCCCAAAATTTGCAACGGATTTTTTCGCAAAATAAATTATCAAGGATCATAATTACTCAGATAAAACCCTGGATCTAACTCTGCCCCCTGCGTGCACGTGGGCGCATAGTTGTCAGCGGTAACAAGGATGTAGATCAATGTCTCCAGCGGTGTAACACATGGAAATCACAGAAGTGCATGCACAAGAGATTGCATACCTGGTGATTCACTCTCCGCGCCAGTACCGGATGCAACGTAGAGCACCTGCTGCTGATCCGTCGTGTCCGCACTGCCCGAGGTTACATACACCATCTGGCCACCAGACTGCGCTGCTGCTGAGCCTGGTGGTGCTGCAATGAACCAACAGCAGTTAACGCATGTGAGAATTGCCAGAGAACAAGCGTTCCTCTGCACGTGCCAACGAAGCACTTTTATACATATATACCCGATTTGAAAAGGTAGAAAGCCCCTTGCATATCCTTGAACGACCTTGATTAAAATTTAATAAATCCACAATGATACATGCTCTTTTTCGATTCGAACTTTAAGTCGAATGAGCAAAAGCAAGGACCAAGCAGAGAGACTGGGGATTTCTACACCAACCACTTAGCAAAATACACTGAACATACCATCCTGTATCTCCTTATTAAACGTGTCCAAGTAAGACTGGATATCAGTCAGCGTCTGTGGAGTAGCCGTCCCTGTGGCGGCCTCTGCTGCATCCATGTTGACTTTTTAAAAGTTTTACCAGCAATTAATTGATTCTGCATTAGAAATAAACACATAATGAGTCAGCCCACACCTATCAGCTACCCCCCCCAACCATTCAAAGCTGACCAGTGCTAACATAAGCATAAATCAGAACCTAATAGGAACAGACACAATTACTTAGGTCCCTGACAAATCAAGTAACAGTATTATTAAACTGCATTACGGTGATTAACTGGTTGGACCCGATCCACTTTTCAAAACTGATCTAGATTCAAATAAATTCTTACGTAAGATTTTAAAGTAGGATTGAAATTCTGAATCATTACCATCAGGGAAAAAATATAATTCATTTTTCGGGGGCTACTTTTCAAGCTCGCGTGCATGAAAATAGCACTCTAAAATTTGGTTTGCATTGAACTCTATGCAAATTTACGGGGGCTCTTTTTGGTATTTCGGGGGCTAAATCGCCCCGAGCCCCCGTGTATTTTTTTCACTGATTACCATATCATGTGAGCAGTGTTTGGCAGTCACAACCCCACACACAATGCACTGTGCTTTTTGCAATTTGAAATTGGCATATTTAGATGTTCATGTTGTTCTGTCCCCTTCATGTCTTCTTTTTACATGCCAATCTGATACCAGTTTAATGACAACTACTACTAGTACTAAGTGGTAAAGGCGCAAATCCACTTTAGGCACCTTAGCCTTAGGTATCACGAAGTGATGCACAGATTTCTGTGTATCATCAACTGATGCACAGATTTCTGTGTATCATCAACTGATGCACAGACTTTCCGTATATCAAGGAATGATGCAAAAACCCTAACCCTAACCCTAAGTCATAAAGTATAACCTTAGGTATCACGAAGTGTGTTAGGGTTAGGGTTAGGGTTAGGGTTTTTACATCATTTCTTGATATACGGAGTCTGTGCATCAGTTGATGATACACAGAAATCTGTGCATCAGTTGATGATACACAGAAATCTGTGCATCACTTCGTGATACCTAAGGTGCCTAAATTGGATTTGCACCGTAGTAAGTAGTAAGTTTTAAAGTACTATTGCCGTATTGCTACTAGAGACAGCTACTACAACTTTATAGTATTACTATTAGTAGCACAATTACGCTCATAGGGTCTAAGTCCCCCAGGGTACTGCCGGAACGTACCCTGGTAACTATCTGATATGGTTAGGGTTAGGGTTAGGGAGTAGGCGTAGGCGACTCCCTAGACTCGTTAGTGGAGTAGGCGAGGTACGGTCTGGCATATTAGATAGTAGGTACCAGCAGAGCATATAAATCACGTTGATTTATATGCTCTCCTACCAGGGGTACGTTCCGGTATACCGGACCGTACCCAGGGTACGTTCCGGCAGTACCCTGGGGGACATAGACCCTCTCAGCACAAGTTACAACATCATGTTTGAGCATCTCAGAATTATAAATATGTCCAATTTAGTGCAGTGCTCTGTTATTAAGAGCACTGCACTAAATTGGACATATTTCAAACGGCAGGTCAAATCAAATCAAAAAATTTATTTATCACCATAATTTGCAAAAATACAATGATGCAGAGAACATTATTTTGAAGGGTGAAGGGGTAGCGAAAGACCATAGGCATAGGTCCATAATATTTGAACTTCTGTAAAGCTAACAAATGCCAACCACTGCTACCATGCTAACTGCCTACATTAGTCATAGCAGGCATTTACTGATAGCCTAGTACATTTTAGTACAGCATACTTTAGATGTGTTGAACTGTGTGGATGTTAAAACTACGGGAAATCGACTGAATACTGCCGCATGGATATTTTGAAATTAGTGGTTTTACTTTTAGGTGCAAGCGCCCCCTTATAAACACGACGGAAAGCAAGCATAAATGTGTTAGCGCCACCTCCCGCCACCATGGCGTCGGCTACAACGCGCGCTAATGCTTATGGACTTTGCCGTTTTGGGCTGATTTTCCAGACAAAGGAATGAATAGTTTAGCTTGAATTTTATGCCAGAAATCCGCAAGTTTTCCACCACCAAAAACGCAGATTTTAACCATTTTCGTAATTTTACTTCTCGTCGAAAACATACTAAATAAAGAGCCGGTGACTTGTGTCCACCTATTATCAAAGAACAGTTTCCAAAATTTGTCACCGGGGCGCTGTGAAATCGGAGAGATATCATGTCGGCAACGGCGACCGCGCTCCAATAAAGAAGGGAAATGCGGCGGGAAACGCCACAACTGTTTTATGGTTCCTCTTCTACGTTGAAGTTGAACAACAATACCACCGGAAAGTTCATATTCTCTACTGAATACTCTACTATCTATCGCGAAATTGAAGGGCAAAACTTACCAGTAGACGATGAAAATTCTAACACTTGAGGGCGTTGTTCAAAGACCCATCATGGCTAACGCCACCCGACGAAGAAGAAGGGTCGTTCGGCAAATTCCGGAGCGATCCGAACATTCACGAAGCGTTAAATCGCGTTGGCAAGTTGTTAAAGCTGTATAGTCGCCCATCGACGTGATGGGAAATAGACAATAATCGCTTGAAATTCTGCTTAAAATTGCGAAATAGGATTCGTGGGATTTTATTGCTGATGCATTTTAACGCGAAAAATTCTAAGCACATTACAAAGAGCCAATTGGCTTATGTATGACGCAATGTTTCACTGAGTGACGAAATCTGTCATCTCCGTGACTCGGTCTCGCAGGAAATTGTGCTCTTTCTAATATTTTATCAAATTTATGTTTATTTAGTTACTCCAATTTCATACTTTACAAACAACATGTTTATAAATAATTTATGCCCGCATGATGCGCTTAGGCAACTAGCCAAGTTAACTACCTACTAGTACTTACTAGTAGTAGTAGTAGTACTAAACCCCATGAATGGCACAGAAAACGTGACATCTACATTATTTTATCGGCATTGCTCCATACACATCAGGAGTAGATAATAGGGATCCCTATTATCTACTCCTGATACACATACAGTATACGGTAGATACAAGAATGTAACCCAAACACAGGATAGGGGTACACGGGTGACGGGATACACCTATCCTGTGTTGGGGTTACATTATAGTATCTACATAATTGGCATTAATACATTATCCATAATGTTCTGAGTGTTACTCACTGTTTTACACACTACGACTGCCAATAAACTTAAAAACAAGGTATTTACCACCATGAGAAGGTCACACAAAGCCTGTCTAAACACAAAGGCCTTAGGGTTCTAATAGCAAAAGCAGTTCAGTCCTTTGTTAACAGTCAACAAATCCATGTTTAACCCTCCTCTTGAGGGTCAAAAGGTTATCAGACACTTACTCTTCGCACGTCAGTGGAAAGTAGTTTTCATGGTCCTTTCAATAAAGTGATAAAAACATTAAGTCAGCGCTACGGCTATAAACGTAACATTTAAGTCGTGCGTAGTGACTTTGTTAGGCGCAGATATGCAGATACGCAGTTGCGTACACATCATTTCAGCAACCTTCTGCATTCTGTATACCTCCCAAATCCCATTGGTTGATACAAATCGCGTGCCTGAAATTCCTGTTTTATGGTGGATTGTGACCCTAACCCTATTAAAAAAAAATTATTTGTTGTTATTAAATTGTTGTAAATAAATCATGTAAATATTTGCCTTAATTGGAAAAAAATAGTTAAATGGATAAAGATAGAAAAATACAGAAAACAGGTAAATAATAAAAAATCTGATGGGATTTGACCCAAGGAACTTTGAGCAATAATCCTGTACTGTACTCGTTGGGCTATCCAGACATATTGGCTTTCTAGATTATGGATGTGCCATGAATATGAGAACACTGACATCATCGAGGCAGTTCAGGAATCCATGTTTAACCCTCCTCTTGAGGGTCAAAAGGTTATCAGACACTTACTCTTCGCACGTCAGTGGAAAGCACATTTCATGGTCCTTTCAATAAAGGGATAAAAATGGTAGGTCACCGCTGAAAAAAAATAAGTTTTTCAATCGCTCGGTCACACCATGTCCTCAGAAAATGTCAAAAATCTGCCCTGTGCCCCATTGACCTTTGACCTCCAATTTCCGCACAGTGATGGCTTTTCCCACCATGATGCTATACACCGACTATCACGAGCCTAGGTCGAGCCGTTTAGATTTGTGCCGCAATTCTGCATTTCCTCCCTATACCTTAAGTTAAGGAGGGAATGTTCCCACTTCTTTTACACCTCTTGACCTTTGACCTTTGACCCCCAGCGTCGACATCCCAACTCGTTTTCGGATTACCCCCCCTACGTCCCGACTTTCGAATCCGTACGTCGAGCCGTTTAGATTTGTGCCAAACTGTTGACGGACGGACGCACGCAGGGACGCACGGACAATCATGCGATTCTACAAGCTGAAAAGTGTCTTCAGAAAATGTCTGATATCTGACCTTTCCCCACTGCCCTTTGACTTGTGACCTCCAATTTCGCGCTGGTCACACTATACATCGAATGATCGAATGTAGGTTGAGCCGTTGAGATTTGTGCCGCAATTCCGTATTTCCTCCTATACCTTAAGTTAAGGGGGAAATATTGACACAGCTTGACCTTTGACCCCCAAATTCGACATCCCGAGTCCTTTTCGCGATCCCCCCCCCCAGACGTCCCGAATATCAAGACCGTACGTCGAGCGGTTAAGATTTGTGCCCAACTGTTGACGGACGGACGCACGGACGGACAATCATGCGATTCTACAAGCTGCATCCGACTTCGTCAGCTGAGCTAAAAACCATTCTGTATTCATAATTGTACGTTGTATTCATCTTCGCCTTGTAATTACTTTGATCGATACATGCATCTTCTACTTCTATTGTTACTAAGTCATACTACACTATGTCACATGCTCACAGCCATGATAATTGCATATCATACTGTATTTTTCAGCGAGTTTGGGTTTGCATTGTCCAGATGCCAGACTGACTGCTGTTTTGAGCACTTGCGACTAACTTGGTAAATATCTTGGTAATGATTCGCTCATGCTCAGTATTTGTCAGCATTCAACAAAATAATATTCCTTTCTGCTAGTACTGGATCAAGTATGATATAATATATGTGACCCGCTGCAGCAAAACCAGGATTAAGTAGGAAATTCTACAAATTGAGTTATGTGCATATCTGAATAGATCATTTAATTACCTTTAAAATGATATATAATATTTGGCTATATCTAAAGAATTGACCGATCTACAGCAATTTGAAGATCGGAAACCGACTTATTCTGGAATATGCAGCTTTTGAGATAAAGCGTTCCTGGTCAGGGGCCCTCCAAACAATTATTTTTTTAATTAAAAATGACCATAATAATCTAGAGATATCTGAACCTATATATCCGGATTAAATATGCACTTAGGAACTTATTTTTGTAAAAATCTCATTCTTGTCCAGGTAGGCCATTTTCAGCATTGACATGTGTGCGTGCTCATTACTCAAAACAATGACTTGCGACTTAGTCCGTATTATGCTAGAGCGGGTCACATATTTATCATGGTTATGGGCATGCAAAATGTATGTCAGATTTGCATGTATGCCTCTGGCGTAACTTAGTCTGGTGCCACCAGACTAACCCAGAGATGCATACTAAAATATAACGTGGTGACTAGGTGATATAAATACTTGATATGTTGTTCAATAACTTCTGAGAGTTGTTCTAGTAGGTTTATTTTTCATCAATCGTACATATAGTATGTAACAGTTTGCACGGAGACAGGTATATAAATACAAAGTGACAATGCCTAAGACTAATTCCTAAATATTTTTGCTATCAATAAAAAACAACCCAAACAAATTCTTGCTCTTCACCAAAAGAATAAAATGTGTTGACAGCCTGCATGTTGTTATGCGGGTAATATTTGCAGGGGCGGATCCAGAGGGGGGGTCGAGGGGGTCCGGACCCCCCCTTTTTACCACAAAAAAAGGAAAAAAAGCATACACACACACACTTCTCTTATATTGTCTCCATAAAAAAATCTTGTTTAGCACTAGTTTTTCTGATAAAGATTTACTTATATATATGTGAATTCGTTATAAAAACCTAGAAATGGGCAAAGAGGGGTCCGGGGGACCGGATCTGATAAATTTTTGCATTCTAGACATCAAAATTACTGTTCAGATGCTCTCAGAATGCACCAATTTTTTTAAAAACAATTTGGGGGAGGTCCCCTAACCCCCCCCCCCAAAGTTGCTTTCGGCAGCTTTTTAAAACCCCAGAAAAAGTAAGCAGGAAAACTGCCCTTTATTTCTTCCTGGACACCCCCTTTTCAAAAATCCTGGATCCGCCCCCGATTTGTAATATATTAGTATGCAAAATTGACGTACCACGGGTGTCAAATTTTTGAGTGTGTACTTTGCTTTACCCTTCTGCACACGTTATCGCCTACGAATCGGCTATGCCCCAACTTTTTACGCGGAACCCAAACTGCACACATACGACAAACTTACGCTGAGAGGGTCTATGTCCCCCAGGGTACTGCCGGAACGTACCCTGGTACTATCTAATATGCCGGACCGTACCTCGCCTACTCTACTAACGAGTCTAGGGAGTCGCCTACGCCTACTCCCTAACCCCAACCCTAACCATATCAGATAGTTACCAGGGTACGTTCCGGCAGTACCCTGGGGGACATAGACCCTATGACCCAAACTTACCCTAGTGTGTAATGATTCGAATGCAAACATAGAATGCACTATGCTAATCACAACCTCTTGCTAATCGTTGCAAACAAAACTTTTCTTAGAAGACCCAGTAAAATTCTGCACACACACAAACCTATAATATAAAATCAACTGCAATACTATTTAAATTCTGACACTCTGTAGCAATGTTATTCATAATTTAGAGTTCAGAATCACATTCAGTGATTATAAAATCTCAGTCAACATTGTTTACTCATTTTATTTTAATTCCCTCACACCACCTCCGATTCAACCACATACCTAAATGTAACATAATTCACGTACATTAAAGTACGTACATACGTACTGGGAAATTCTTTTATTTCCAACAAGGAATAATTGTATCACTGCACGTTTTCTATTTTAGCACTGAATTATGTTGTGGCCACAGCAGTCAGGGCGTCTAATTTCAATGTAAAATCCTTTGGATAAGCCAAGTTTCTGCATTCATTCTTTCTCCAGCATTCTGCAAACATAAATTTAGCGGAATTATTAAAATTATTAATATTCACAAAACCAATAACCTCATCAATAGCCTAGTATAAAGCCCACTCAGCTATCTCATGGACTCAAAGTGTTTTATGTATCAATTAAACACTCCAGAATTAATTTTTTGTATTAGTTCTGTGGCCAGGCATGCCTTCCAATATCCGATTGATTTTTGCAGCCAGCTGACATTGTGCCACTGGTGTAAACTTAATTGTTACGTCTAGCAAAACCTGACTGCATTTCTCAAAGTCGGCGGACGGCGTCTAGAATTCCGAACGTTTTACGAAGATGATTGAAAACATATGAGAAGCTCTATAGAACAACAGAACCCTTACATTGCTGTGTTTAGCTCTTCCCCGGTCGCTTTCTCCATCTAAAACCACAACGAAATTACATGAAATTAATGTGAAACAGACAGAAACTAATGCTTAGCTTCCAACAAACGTTCAAGCATTAGAGCGCACCAGCAGCATAACATAAACCTTATGCTCTTCAGAACGTGAATAGTCTGATTGGTGTTTGAAATTAGGGTTAGGGTTTTATACTAATTTATACTTTATACTTTATACTTTTGTAGGGCTAAATTTTATACGTAAAAATAACTCCCTTGTTCAAAAGTTCATTTCTACCCCTGTATTGTATGTGTGGGTAAAAATCGGACAGTCGAGTACAGTAGTAACAGTACACAATCTATTATCGAAACCCTTGGGACCAGAAATCGGAATTTTTCAGATTTCAGAATTATAGTACAGTACAGATATACATACCGTATATCCTGCAACTAACCAGTATTAAAACCCAAGTTTTCAAGAGGCCAAGTGCTGTACCGGTACAGTACAATATGTACGAGTAGTGCCAAACACATTAATATTTCTGCAGCAAACCTTGCGCAGCCAAACGCAAGCTTTGGTGTGCAGACGACCTCCACGAAAACACTTGGTTTTCGGAGCTTTTCGGTTTTCAGAATTTCGGATAATAGATTGTGTACTGTACTGAGATCACAGACATTCTAAGTAAACGGTCAAGTTTGACAGACTAGTGTAGCAAACCTTTAAAGCAAGCATACCTCTGGTACATCAGCCACCTGGCCGGCTTGCAGGGGTGGTACTGCAACTGTGCCAAATGCAGCCTGAGGTCGTTTGGCACTCTGTGGACCTGAGATAACAGAAACGCATTTCTTTGTGGCCCAGACAAAATTACACAGCAGAGGGAGCCACTATCCAGAAAGGTTATAGACAACCATATGAATACACTGAACAGCATATTTGTGCTAACCTACTAAGTAGTAAGATCATTAACATATGATTGATATATATATATAAATGATGCTTTGCAGAATCATGTGATCCTGTGTTTGATACTGCTTGATACCGTTTTGGAGAGCCATCAGCACTCCTGGAGTAATACCGGCACGGCCAAAACCTACAACACATCATAACATTAGGAAAGCACATTCCAACCGACATTCCACAATACTCCACCACGGGTGACGCTACGACCAAGATTATACGAAAAATACCCTAGGATTTGATCTCGCCAAATACAATTAATCATTCTAATTGTTTAAAAAAATCTAAAGGTACACCCTGCATGCATAATTTCGGTTGGAAAACCACACATGATAAACGCGTGTTTTGCATGCTTTGTTTCACCTGGTGGTGGCGCCATGTGTCCACGCCCCCTGCCAATAGACATCTGACTGAGAACCTCGAGATTCTGCTGCTGGGCAACTCCGCTCATGCCTGACATCACTTCGTTGACCTTCTGCTCAGGCAATGCAGAGGCGCCGCCGGTCTGGGAGAAACGAACCAACACGTTAGTTCTTCGCAGCAGAGTGACTTCACAAGTAAACAATCGTTGCAGTGTTGGGGAGCCTGCATTTCGAATTTCGCTCGTTTTATTTCCAGTATGAGCTTGTAACGATCTCTAATATCCAGACAATATACGATTCTAACTGCGAGATATTAGATAGAGAGGTAAGCGCATGCATCAATGAGAAATCAACGTAAGGAATAATAATTGCAATCGGATAATCACAGAACAGTGATTTAAAAAACAACGTTCTCACTGCTGAAGCAAGTTTCGATGCGATTTCAAACAAGTTCCATACACTTGTATAGCTGAAAAGGAGGTTCTGTAACCAAAATATTGGTGGGTAGCATGTTTACCAACCTGTTGTAGACCAAAGATGTTCGCAGCCATACGTGATTTGTTAGGCAAACCACCTAGAAAGCAGAACATAGAAGAACAATTAATACACCTTCCTATGCAATTATTCTACCCTCAACCCAAATGTCCTGGAACTAGCTTCAACTTTAAGCTCTGCCTTCTTCCTGCTGCCTCCCAGGTGTATAAGAATTTTACTTAAACACTGTTTGACAACACATTGTAATATAGTTGTCACATTTTTGTGTACTTTAAACACACGGGAAGAGTATGGGGATGGTACCATGTCAATGTTTCGATTTCACAAAATATCTCATAATAAAAATGTATGAAATGACTAATGCACATCGTCATGATTCATAATACTAGTGCTCTGAGCTGATTTATGATGCAACGCACTTTTTGTTGCTTTCAGCTGCTGCTGCTGTTTCTGTTCCAGCTGTTTCTTCTGTTGTTGCTCTGCCTGTAACATTAGTGAAACCTATAAGCATAAATAGGGGAAGACACATGCCATGCTGTCAGCACCACTTACATAACAGTTCCTTGTATCAAATACACTTCACATTCTCCAGTAATCTACCAGCCAAAAAAATACAAAAAGATACAGTGACTTCAAAGTTAAATCAAACAGCATATCCATGTAGATAACAGTCATATTTAGATAATGTTCTCATTGAAACCATATTAAGCCAATGAAAATCTGCCAATTGTATGCTGTTCAGATGTCAATTTGGGAAGGCAAGGTTTGAATAAAGCAGCGTTTGTATTCTGTCTATCTGATCAAAATATTTTCATGCACAAAATGCTTGCATAGAACACTACTTTGATTACATACACTGGTGGATATAGCTAGGGGGAATGCAGCTTTAGGACAGTACTATTGTTACTATTGCTTTTTAATGTTTTAGTGTTATAAAAATTGAGACTTTAGGTATATATTAATCATAACTTGATATTTAATCACATACCAATGAGATGGTTTTAGGTGTTCTCAGAGGTTGATCTTCCTCTTGATGTTGTTGCTTGGATTGTTCCAGTTGTCTTTGTTGTTGTTGTTGTTGTTGTTGTTGCTGCTGCTGCTGCTGCTGTTGTTCGTACTTTTTCTGCAGCTGTTGTTGAGTCTCCGTTTCTTCTTCATAATCTGAATCACCTGGTTGTGGTTCCAATGGCCTGCAATGAGATAGGTCTCCAAACTGTCAGTAACAGTTACCAAGATGATTACAGTTACCAAGCATACACAGTTACATCTAACAAGAGCCGCAGAGCGACTGGGCTCATCTGAGGTGTGTTGCTACGGTTATGAACGTAAAATTTCAGTCGTGCGTAGTGACACATTTGTTAGGCGCAGATATGCAGATACGCAGTTGCGTACACATCATTTCAGCAACCTTCTGCATTCTGCATACCTCCCAAATCCCTTTGGTTGATACAAATCGCGTACCTGGAACTCCTGTTTTATGGTGCATTTTGACCCTAACCCTAACCCTATTAAAAAAAAAAAAATTAATTGTTTTAAAAATTATTTGTTGTTATGAAATTGTTGTAAATAAATTATGTAAATATTTGCCTTAATTGGAAAGAAATAGTTAAATAGATAAAGATAGAAAAATACAGAAAACAGGTAAATAATAAAAAATTTGATGGGATTCGATCCAAGGACTTTTGAGCCGTAATCCTGTGCTGTAGCCGTTAGGCTATCGAGGCATATTGGCTTTCCAGATTATGGATGTTCCATGAATATGATAACACTGTGACATCATTAAGGCAGTTTAGCGATCCATGTTTAACCCTCCTCTTGAGGGTCAAAAGTTTATCAGACACTTACTCTTCGCACATCAGTGGAAAGCACATTTCATTGCCCTTTCAATAAAGTGATAAAAATGGTAGGTCACCACTGAACCAAAAAGTTTTTCAATCGCTCTGTCACACCATGTCCTCAGCAAATGTCTAAAATCTGCCCTGTGCCCCATTGACCTTTGACCTGTGACCTCCAATTTCAGCACAGTGATGGCTTTTCCTACCATGATGCTATACACCGACTATCACGAGCCTAGGTCGAGCCGTTTAGATTTGTTCCGCAATTCTGCATTTCCTCCCTATACCTTAAGTTAAGGAGGGAATGTTCCCCCTTCTTTTACACCTCTTGACCTTTGACCCCCAAATTGATCATCCCTAGTCCTTTTCACGATCCCCCCCCACGTCCCGAATATCGTGACCGTACGTCGAGCGGTTAAGATTTGTGCCCAACTGTTGACGGACGCACGCACGCACGCACGCACACACGCACGCACGGATAATCATGCTACAAGCTGCATCTAACTTCAGATGAGCTAAAAATCCATATTTTAAAATAGTAGAATTAATACACCCGCTTTCAGAGTCATCTTCACTTACACTGCACATACAATCTACATACTTTACATATGGCAAACAGCTCGACAATAAATTGTCTTCTCTAGAAAGAGCTAGGATAGTATCAAGAGCTAATAATACCTAGAGTGTACAACGGAAAAACGGGAAAAATAGTGCTATTTCACGACATGATTATTCTACTTTGCCTGCGAGTCTAGAATAATTTTATGGTATTGCATTAAGCAGAATTCTTTGCTCTCTAAAACAAGACCAACCGCTTGTCAATACGATACTCCTAGGCTGAGATATTGGCTCCTAAACCTCCCCTCCCACATGCCTCACACGGCCTGGCATCCAGCTTATTCAGCAACCTAAACGCCTCTAAGGTTGCTTCGTGAGAGTTCGGTTTTTCCGCCATAATTTTATGAATGATTTTCGGGTGCAGGTGCAGGGTGGAGGTGACTTTCGGGGGCATCGCCTATGCCCTTATCTCCCATTATCTTTCCTAGCACGGCTAATGCCCGTCATGATGGAGCCGGCAATGTTTTTTTAATTAAGTCTCTACAACGCAGCTAGTAAGAGTACCAAATTTGGGCATGTGACATCAATTATCAGCGCTCCAAGCGGCGACGGAAAACGATAGCCAAAATGCTTAGAGGCGTTTAGGTTGCTGAATAAGCTGGATGCGAGGCCGTGTGAGGCATGTGGGAGGGGAGGTTTAGGAGCCAATATCTCAGCCTAGGAGTATCGTATTGACAAGCGGTTGGTCTTGTTTTAGAGAGCAAAGAATTCTGCTTAATGCAATACCATAAAATTATTCTAGACTTGCAGGCAAAGTAGAATAATGTTGTCGTGAAATAGCACTATTTTCCCGTTTTCCCGTTGTACACTCTAGGTATTATTAGCTCTTGATAGTATGTATTAGCCACACTACTTGCCAAACTGTCTTTAATGTGTCTATTTTTGCTATGAGACTACTTACAAACCCAGAGTCGTTCGCTCAGCCGCCTTCAACAATCGTTTTCGATGATTTCGCTTCTGTAATGGGGCCCACCTAAAAAACAAGACGCATCAAAGGACTCTCATGCCACTACAACACTCATAAATCATTACTCTTTGCTGCAGATCGACGATTTAACCAGCTAGCTTCCAGATGTTCATTGAAGATGCACGATAGTTGAGAATTGAGATGTTATTTCCTGCAACGTGCAATGTCTGTGCAAATAATTACCCCGCTGTATCAGTCACGTGCACCTTATTCCTCGCTGTGTCCCGATACAACTCCATGGCTTGTGCATTATTGGCTAATGCAGGGTTAACACTATGGATGGGGGGTAGGACTGGCGTCTCTACAGGCAACAGAGAGCATTCAAGCATGTACATGTTATTTACTGCTGCGCTTTCAAACTAGAGTTCAGTGATCATTAGTGCATACTGTGCAATTCACAGAAACAGATTAGTTTGTTACACCAAATTAAGAACGAATAAAAAATGAAGCAAGAAAAGAGCCTCCGTGTAAAAACTCTTACAGAAAACCATTTGATGCATATAGAATGAAGCAAGCTTGCTCCTTTCACGTCTTGGTAATGGTTTTCGATCATAGGAGATAACACTGGCAGTACCAATTAATGTTAATTATCCAGAGGTGAACATACTGGCTGAATCATTGACTAATTTAGAACCGTCTTCTATGTTTACAGTTAGTGGCACATGCACTGTAGAGCTGATATCACATGGGTGATTGGGTACAAAATTTTGGACCGTGTTATAAGTCCGTCTGCATTATTATATTGAATTTATATATTTTGATGTAATCGACAGGGTCGGCACAGGCATGAAAATTTCCTCGAATTTGATCCGACTCCTTGAAAACTCTTTGAATCTTAAGATATTATGTTTTATATTGGAATTGTCCTGGGAAATTTGTCATTGTTCCTATTATCTTGACCGCATTATGAGCGATTCTGCACTATATCAGATCTACAGTGTATATAGGGGAGTATTATTGTCATCTCAGCTTAGCACTCAGCTTAGCACTCAGCAAAAAACGCGTTTGATGGAAACTGCAGGAACATAAGGAGTAGCGTCCTGTGTCTCCTACTACATGCGCAACCGAAACCCCTATAAAAAATTATGGGCGTCCTGAAGGACGACTAATTATTATTATTATATTGTCATCTTTACGTAGCTGATGCCACTGCATTCACCACGTTGCCTTATCTGTGTATTACATCTCCACATCTGTCTGTCTGTGCTTCCTTTCTGCTGAAAAGCACCGACTCGGTCCATTACAAGACCTTCTTGCCTCGCTCCACTTCTCGGCTCATGAAATATAACTCGACGGTTGCAGCAGAAAATATCATACAGATGAATGCGCAGTGTTTACCGAGATCCCAGTTCTCCTCGGTGTCCACGATGGAGTTGGCTGCGATGGGTGCTGGCAAGGACGTGTCACCTCTATAAAAACGGCTCTGCTCATTTTTCTTTTCTTCTTGAAAAGCTGCAGTCAGAACGAAAGCCACCACCCATCAATCAATTCATCAATATTTATCAATTATTCAATCAATGACGAGGACACATAAATACCAGAATGCCATGTAAAAAAACACGCGCACCGACGAACACACATAGACAAACGTAGAACATAAATATGAAAATATGATGGCTTTCATTTTAAAAACGAGCAAGATTGTCTTTAGAGACAGTCACTTTATCAGGCTACAAAGAACAGAAAGCTATTGACTAACATATAGAACACGTTGATTCACACATTACACTGGCACAGCGTTTACAATGCATACACATTTTAGTTCAATGCTTGTTTAACTTATAGTGTTAAGCGCAATAATCCAGATCGATCACGATTATTATGATTTTATCGAAACGAGTGGTGATCGCATTATGATAGAAGTTATCATTATATGCTTGGCATCTAGTCAATTTGAACAAAGCACACAACACAACTTGATATAATGTATATTTAAAAGGTATGTATATATAATTAGAGTATTTACATGTAGTATAGACGCTTCGCCATTTCAAAAACAAGCCGATTTAGAAACAACCTTGCGTTCTACAAATTCCTCAATGTTCGGCGATCATAAAAAAACAGCAATTTGCAGAGGTAGAGCGTCCCTTAATGGATCTCTACCGGTCCTACAATTTTATGGCCGCCGTCATGAAAAGGGACGCGTGACACAGCATGGGACACACTCGGGTCTCCTCTTTCTGCCACGTTCGTCTACTTTTCTCCTCGCCCTGCGTTTTCCCTTAAACCTGGTATCTGTTCCTTTCCCCTGTTCTATCTCCGGAGCCGCACACCGCCGAGTGATTCCGGGTACCAATCGACAACCTAAGGTATAACTTCTTACGTTTGTACGTGATACGCGCACAGAGAGGCGACATACGAGTCGGCTCTCTCTCGATAACCTTGTTCTCAGATCGTGTAGTTATCTTGTTAGTGGTTTACACTTTAATCTAATATACGCACGTGCAGTTCATTATAATTCTGTGTTCGTATTGTTTATATCGGCGTTCCCAGTCAGCTACCTACGGAGGAACCCCTGCAGCCGAACCGAGAACCTGGGTTGGTGAGGTAACGCGACTCCCTGTTACATACATGCGAAATTAATGAGATCATACCAAAATTTATCCAGCCACTAAATGGCATGATTATACTATGGGCAAGTAGACAGAATGTACGACAACTCAAATAGAGATTGAGACCAATATACTTTAAAAATACTTTAAAAAACCATTATCAATTTAATTGATCACGAAAGTAAAAAGGACTAGATAATGGCTTAGTCAAAGATCATGCACACCACTTATACACACACCAGGCTGCAGCACACGATGCATATCACTGATATATACAAACCAATGTCGCGTTCAAGTGCTCCCTTGTCAGGGCAGGTGAGCAGGTGCAGCCTTTGATCTACCGATGGGACAACATGCCTCGCGTTGAAGGGGCAAGCCCAAAGTTCTTTACCTACATGGTTCTGTAACAAACATCATAAACATACTGCATAGGTGTGAAGTTATCGTATAAAAATAGTAAATTGTGAATTTTTTACTCCCAATAAGTCACTCTGCCATTTAAGCACCGCAACCTCCGCAGGAAATGCGGCATGGGTGAAATGCGGAATTTTGAATTTTGAAATTTGATCTGTTCTAACCAAAACTAGATGAGGGCAATTAAGGTCAACCTAACACTCACCTTTCTGCACTTTATCAGGTGGTATGGGAACTTTGCTGCCGAGACCCTGTGCACAGGATCATATGGGCACACCTGCATTATTTGTCCATCGGGATCAGTTCCGTAATAACTCATTGTGATCAATTGTGTCAGAGCACACGTCAACTGGAAGGAAATAAGTGCATCTGACACATGGAACACATTTCAGGAATTACAATTGTTGTTGAATATGTAATATCTGTTTGTGCAACCGATAATTCATCGAAAAAGGTGTGACGATCTAATTTTGAAACACAAAATATAAACGAAAAGGGGCCGCGACTGTTAAGAGCCTACCGACTTGCCATTGAAAGCAGACTTTTTTGTGCTAGATCTGACACTCATTATAATCGTATAAAGTTCTAGCACAAAATTGAAGTGTGTTAAAAGAATGAGAGATAGTGTTTACACATGAAACAGCAATGATGGATAGTTGGAGAGGATGTTACAATCATCCGGATGCATCTAGGGAATAGTGGACACAGCTCAGTATCACAGACCCTACAATACAGAACCGAGATTTCTGATATTCCACAGTCCTGAGCTTATAGACTTTGAAAGCGGTGAGTGAGTATGAGAAGTTAAAGGGAAGAATATGCATGGTGGATAATATTAAAGTGAGCTCTTCAGAGGTAAGACTGTTTCTGAGATGTAGTCGCTGTTTTTTTGACAAGTTGCAGAGAGCAGTCAGTTTTCCTTTCAAGAAAGGAGGGCCAAAGGGAGACCACCATGGCTGAGAAAAGCAGTCAGAGACTTATCACTGTATAAGCGAGCATCAAGGCAAGCATTAAATACAGCCACTATTGAAAACAGGGGCTTCAAGTAAGATTTTGAGGGCAAGACTGTGGATAACATTTAATGGAATAACAAATGTTTTAGGAACTGTGCCTGGAACATGATGTGAACAAATGATAAAGGATATCTAAGGAAAGACATGGTCATAAGTGCTGACTACATTATCTCATCCACCACAGGGGTAGAAATTAATTTGACGATTTACAGGCCAGCCGGGCCTGTAGGTAAGGGATTTTACAGGCCCACCAGGCCCGCATCATTCCCAAGACACCGCAGAATTAAAAAAAAATAAAAGACAGAAATTTGAAATTGTTACAATAACAAATACGGTAACTTTTCATCCTCACTGGCATGCCGGGGACGGTTTTGCATGCTGGGGGTGGATTTTCTACGGGCCCGTCGGGCTTGCTAGTATTAGAAATGTCAGGCCCGAGCCTTAAAATACGGGCCCACAGACCCCTTATGATTTTGACCCATGCACCAGGGTTTAGTACGTGGGAGGAGGGAGGACTTTTAAATGTAATTGCATCAATGCGAATGGATACTTGCCCACTATTGTCACAAAACAGAATAGTCACTGTCAGTCTGTTTGCACTAATGCTTGTGGTGATCCTGTAATGCAGAGAAATGAGTTAATAAGTAAATATGCAAATAACTAGTAATAGTCGAATATAGATAGAATAAGAAATAGTTGGAGACGCAAGTCTTTGTTTAAACGCTGACCAACGACACGCGACGACGGCCGTACGTGTCAGCCAATGAGAGCGGTCGAGATGCCCGCGTGACCAGGATGTAAGACAATAGAGGGGACGCGCATACTTAAAGGAGCACCCCTTTGTGCACGTCCCTCTGCCTCTCGCTATTCTGACAGAACAAGACGTATACATCTTTGCGTGTGTGAGCATCCTATCGACCGTTAGAATCGTAACTTAGAAAATAATATGATTTAAGGAGTGTAAACCTTGTTCAACAAACTTTTGTCTTTGCAATTGAATTGCAAATGTAGCTTCACATCCACACAGGTATGGGCTCTAATAATAGCAAAAGCAGTTCAGTCCTTTGTTAACAGTCAACAAATCCATGTTTAACCCTCCTCTTGAGGGTCAAAAGGTTATCAGACACTTACTCTTCGCACGTCAGTGGAAAGCACATTTCATGGTCCTTTCAATAAAGTGATAAAAATGGTAGGTCAGTGCTGAAACAAAAAAGTTTTTCACTCTGTCCGTTAAGCCATGTCCTCAGAAAATGTCTGATATCTGACCTTTCCCCCACTGCCCTTTGACCTGTGACCTCCAATTTCGCACTGGTGATGGGTTTCCTGCCCATCACACTATACACCGAATATTAAGAGCATAGGTCAAGCCGTTCAGATTTGTGCCGCAATTCCATATTTCCTCCTATACCTTAAGCTAAGGGGGAAATATTCCCCCTCCGGTGACACATCTTGACCTTTGACCCTTGACCCCCAAATTGGTCATCCCGAGTCCTTTTTACGATCCCCACCCCCATTCCCCGAATATCGTCACCGTACGTCCGAGCGGTTAAGATTTGTGCCCAACTGTTGACGCACGCACGCACGCACGCACGGATGGCCGGACGGACGCACGCATGATCATGCGATTCTACAAACTGCATCTGACTACGTCAGATGAGCTAAAAACACAAATAGCATTTCGCAGTTTTATTTATAATTTTTCCAAACATAATATACATGAACATATAAATTATTATTATTATTTTAGAGAGATACACACTCTCTATCACTGTGTATTTGTGCATGCACAAGGGCGTGCGCGCTATGTGTTGCAGCGGTGTATTGGACGGTGTTGAAGTGAAGTTATTAGGTCAAATCAAACATTAAGACTATTAGTATTACTGGTACTAGTACTGGTAGGGCTAGTAGTAGTACTGACAAGTTGTATTTATTAACCATCATTTTATTATTCAAACGGTCCAAGTGCCTGTGGCTGTGCCTGTGGCGTGTGGGTAGGCCTAGGTCACAGTAGGACTAGTAGGTGCATTGTTTACAACGGCAGCGTTGAACATGTTAACGTAACATTCTTTATATACATATATATTAATATCGGCTATGAAATTATAATACATTTTTCGTTATTACCATATATTTTACCATTAATATATTAACGAGATTACGAAACATACTTGTAGTGCAACGATGCGTTCTACTTCTATCCTCAATATCGTTTGTTGCTCTTGTATTTTGTGTCACAAGTCACGTGCTTGTGTCTCGCGAGATTATCCGCCATCGTTGTTTCTTCCTGTTGTGTAAATTCGCTCTACTGCTTTGTGAAAAATCAAGCCTTCTGTGCTTTTCTTTCTCGTGCTTTGAGATTTGGACTCTTTCTAGTAGCCGTTTAGTTGTCATTTTTCTATAAGACCTCTAGTAGATTTGGAAAAAGTGATGTCTTCTGGCGTAAACCAGGTAACAAAATAGAAAAATGTCTTGAAACTGCTGAACTAGCGATGCATGCGACTGTATCAGTGTACCTATGTAACACAGGCACTTGGAACGTCTCAATAAAAAAAAAAGGTAAATAAACACGAAATGTATTTACTACCAAAGTGTTAATGTTTCTCTACTCTATTTCCCCTATTATTGCCGATAATTACCCTTAAATGCCGGTCAAATGCTCATCTGCAACACACAAGTACACCGCATGCCCGCCCTGTGCACAAACGACATGATTAAGAGAGCAGGTAGGAAAGCGTGATCGCAAAATTCGCTCGACGCTCGCTTCATTTCACACGTTCACAGCACGAATACACATCCATCCTGCAGGAAATGTTCTCTCCGTGAAAATGTAAAGAGGACGTATCATCCGAAAATCCCTAACGGCGCTACTCTCGATCGATCACTGTAGTCGTGTGTGTGATGTCATGCCCACGCGCATTTAGCTCTAGAACTATAGCCAAAGGCGTCGGAAGCAATAAAATAGTGCCGCGCGCTTTCAGTGCGCTACGCAGGCATTTTTCGAAAAGGGGCGTGTTAGGAGCACGCCAAAGGGCACGGGGTCTGGGGGAGAGCGATTTTTTTGAAATTTGCATTCCACAGATGCGTTTTCTGCGCGAGAATGGGGGGGGGTCCGGAACCCCTGGACCCCCCCCTGTACACGCCCCTGAAAACTGTAGACACTGATACCGTGTGCGCTTGCACTGACGGGTGGGTCCCGGGGGTAGATTCATGATTCATCAAGCTGCGTACCAAAATATTTTGCGTAAATCTTGTGTGCGTACGCAATCGACGTTGCTTAGTTGCGATTTATCAACGCAGTTATTTAGTAGTATTCGTATTATAGTATTAGTATGCGATTTCGCATACGCAAGCGAGGCGTTTTAGTGCGATTCATCAAGCTAACAATTTACGTAAACCTTTGCGTAGGAGAGTGTGTATGTGTCAGAGAGAGAGAGAGAGAGAGCGGATCGTGGG